TGCTATGTTTTTTTTTTTTTTTTCCTTTTTGTCTTTTTTTACTAACCGGTAACGGGATTGCAACCCTTGGTGTTGCACCCGCACTGTGCTCAGCCAATGAGCGGGAACCGGTCTCTACATGGGATCTGAACCCTCGGTGGGAGCGCCGCCGCACTCCCAAGTGGCGCACTCTCCAGTGCGCCACCGGGCCGGCCCCCCTTTTTTTTTTTCCTAGCTTTTGCTATGTTTTGATACTCCATATCTAGAGATATATTCAACCAAATTGATGAGGTCAGGATGTCAGTACCCCTCCCCCTGAACGCTTTAGTCCATCTCTGGGCACAGATTTCCCTGTACCTTTCCTTACCTTGGAGAGAATGAATGTGAGTGACTTTGCCTAGTCCTTCCAAATGAGGAAGTATTTCAAAGCCCAACTTATGGTGAATCTGTAAATATAAAGGATAGCATAAAGGACCAGTTTATGGTGGGTCTATAAATAAAAGGAATCTGTGCATCTTTATTTAGGAGCCAATTTACTTTTATTTTTAATTGAAACAATTGATTGTACATACCTGTGGGGTACAGTGTTGAATATCAATACCTGTGTGCAATATGCTCAGATCAGGATAATTAGTGTATTCAACATTATATAATGTAATCATTTTTTTGTGGCCCTTTACTAATTTCTCGCTAACTCCTCCTTCCCTTCCCATTTTCCCACCTCTGGTAGCCTCAGTTCCGTTCTCTACTTTTGAAAGTTCAATGAATTATCATGATTGTATATCTTTCTCTCTTTCTTTTTAAAATTTATTTGTTTATTCTTTTAGTTCCCACTTGTAAGTGAGGACGTATGGTATTTCTCTTTCTGTGCCTGGCTTTTTTCACTTAACGTAATTTTTTCTAAGTTCATCCATGTTGCTGCAAATGTCAGAATTTCATTCTTTTTTAAGGAAGAGTAGCATTCCATGTTGTGTATATAACACATCTGACAATGGACATTTAGGTAGGTTCCAATTCTTGGCTATTGTAAATAGAGCTGTGATAAACATGGGAATACAGGTATCCCTTAGACATGATGATTTCCATCCCTTTGGGTATATATCAAGAAGGGGGATTACTGGATCGTATGGCCGTTCTATCTGTAGTTGTCTGAGGAACCTCCATACTGTTTTCTATAATGGCTGCACTAATTTACAGTTCCACCCACAGTGTAGGAGGGTTTCTCTTTCTCTGCATCCTTAATAGCCTGCATTATTCTGTCTTTTTGATAATAGCCAGTCTAATGGGGTGAGAGGATATCTCAGTGTGGTTTTGATTTGCATTTCCCTGATGATTAGTGACGCGGAGTATTTTTTCATGTGTCTGTTGGCCATTTGCATGTCTTCCTTTGAGAAATGCCTATTCAGCTCCTTTGCCCATTTTTTAATCTGTTTTTTTACTTAAGTTGTTTGAGTTCTTTCTGTATTCTGGATATTAATGCCTTGTTGGATATATAGTTTGCAAATATTTTATCCTATCCTGTAGGTTGTCTTTTCACTCTGTTAATTTTTTTTTTTTTTTTTGCTGTGCAGAAGCTTCTTAGTTTGTTATAATCCCATGCATTTTTTCTTTTGTTGCCTGTGCTTTAGGGGTCTTATTCATAAAGTCCTTACCCAGTCCTACTTCTTGAAGTATTTGTCTTATGTTTTCTTTTAGGAATTTTATAGTTTCGGATATTATATTTAAGCCTTTAATCCATTTTGAGTCGATTTTGGTATATGGTGAGAGATACAGGTCCACTTTCATTCTTGTACCTGTGGAAGTCCACTTTTTCAGCAACACTTATGGAAGAAGCAGTCTTTTCTCCAATGTATGATCTTGGTGCCTTTGTCAAAAATCATTTGGCTATAAGTATGTGAATTGATTTCTGGGTTCTCTATTCTGTTCCATTGGTCCATGTGTCTGTTTTTATGCCAGTACCAAGCTGTTTTGGTTACTATAGTTTTGTAGTATAATTTGAAGTCAGGTAGTATAATGCCTCTGGCTTTATTTACATTTTTTGAACAGTCAAATTTTGGCTGAAAATACTATCTAAATTTAGCATCATGACAAGATGAGCTTCATGTGTTTGATTTCAGTGTTTTGTATTTTAAGAGCATGTAGGATTCTTAATGCATAGTAGAGATACTGTGGTGTGGTTGGCAGAGTGCACTGAACTGGCTATCACAAGACTCCATATCTGGTTGTATGGAGGGAGAATATCGTCCATGTGGAAACTTCTGTGGTAGGAGGTTCTGAAAGCCAAATATAGCTATGAGGAGGAGGAAATTCAAATCCAAGGCAGCTAACAGTAGTCACTTGATATGTATCAAGTCCTTTATGGCCAGGAATGCAGTACTTTGAATCAAATCTGATGATGGAGGTGAGGAGTTCAAGAGCTGGTTGGAAGGCGACAGGAATAGGTTGAAGTAAGTTTTTCAAGATTAAAGTTGTGGTAAGCTCCACAGCATTCTAATCATGAGGTGCCCACCAAAAAGTTGCCAGGATGGATACTGTAGGCAGCAAGAACTATATTCAGCTGGTTGGATGATTTGGGTTCTAGTCCCTAGCTCTGTGATCTTGAGCAAGGCACTTAACCTCTGTCTCACATTATCTATAAAACAAAGGACCTGGACTAACTATTGGTTTCATTTCTACTTTTTTAACCTCATGGACATTAGTTTTTAATATTTTTGCCTAATAAAGCATGTTTATTACAACTTGCAAACCTATAATATTGTTGCTGTTTCTGAAATATGGTTGCATATCAGAATCTTCTGTGGAGTTTTTAAAAAATTAGATATCCTGGTCTTAACTCCAAAGATTCTGATTCAGTAGGGGACAGGTGCTCAGCATCTGATTTAAATTTCTGGACAAAATATTCTAATTCCTGGCTAGGGTTCAAAACAACACAAACCCAGGTATCTTAGTCCATTTGTGCTTCTATAGCAAAATACCACAGACTAGGTACTTTATAAATAACAGACATTTATTTCTCACAGTTCTGGAGGCTGGGAATTCCAAGATTAAGGCATCAACAGATTTGATGTTTGGTGAGGGCTGGCTCTCTTTGCTTCCAAGATGGCACTTTGTCACTGCATCTTCCAGTGGGGACAAATGCTGTGTATTCACATGGTTGAAGGGATGAAAGGACAAAACAAACAAATAAACAAACAAAAAAACCCCACTAGAGTACTTCCTTCAACCTCTTTTATAAGAGCACTAATCCATTTGTGAGGGCAGGGCCCTCAAGACTTAGTTACTTCGCAAAAGTCTCTACCTCTTAATACTACCACATTGGGTATTAAGTTCTAACACAGGAATTTTAGAGGGACACATACATTCAAACCGTAGCAACAGATAAATATGTAATTTCTGTATATATTTTTTAAAATTGCAAATCCTCAAGGACCTCTTAGGGCACCTTAAAAGGCAACCACTCGACTAGATGAGATATAAGGTCCCTTCATTTCTAGAATTCTAGGTTAAATTTCACAAGCTCTTATCCAGACTATGGTTTCTAAATAGCATTGCTATTAAAATACACAAGGGCTTCTTACAGATATTTGATTCCACAGTGAGGGCAGGAAATGTACAAGATGAGCCTAGGATATCATGTTATGTCAGAAAGCAAAAAAACCCATCAAAGACTACTAGGATTATGCCAACAAGGACTCAGAACCAACTCGAAGAGGCTCCTGCTGGGCAAAGATGGAAAAATATGAGCATTAATAATAATAATAATAATATCAATGGATTAATACAGATCAAATGTGTTTAAATTGATGAGTTCATAAAGATGTTGGACAAAAACAAAAACTCATTTGTCTCTTTTGGAACATACTAGGGAAAAAACTCCTTATTTTGAAAACCAGTAAATAAAAAGTCAAACATTTATCCTACCATTTCAATATTAACTTTACCTTTATGAACCAAATAATAGATAAGGGAAAATTTCTCTCTGTAGGAGAATTTCTTCTAATAAATAAATAAAGAATTAAAGAATTACAGTATTGCTATTTCACAGTTCTTAATAAAATGATGGATCTAGGAAATGGTCACCAATGCTGTTAACATCACAAAAAAAGAGAATCAACTAGATTTTGTGTCTCTTGCTGGAAGATGCTATACCATCTATGCACCATTCTTGCTAAAAAATCAAAGTTGGATCTGATTAAAACTCTGGATCTAACAAGCTTACAGGAAATACGAGGGTAGAGAAACATGTTAGCATTCATGGGGTTGTAATCAACAAAATGCAGGAAAAATCTACAGAACAAACCCTTGTGATAAATCAGTTACAACATATAAATCTTACTTGCATCATTAGGAGAGTAGAACAAACTATAAAAAGCTTATCAGGAATGGGCCGGCCTGGTGGCGCACTGCTACAGTGCGCCGCTTGGGAAGTGCGGCGGTGCTCCCGCCGAGGGTTCGGATCCCACATACAGACCTGTTCCCGCTCAGTGAGCCAGGTCCGGGAGCAACGCCGAGGGTTGCGATCCCGTTGCCGGTCCCGGTCCGGTACGGGTGCGACACTGAGGGTTGCGATCCGTTGCCGGACACGAAAAAAGACAAAAAGGAAAACAAACAAACAAACAAACAAACAAACAAAAAATAAAAAGCTTATCAGAAAATGAAGAAAATTTCAACATTGACAAGATATTTGGTGACAGCAAGGAGTTATTGTAAAAATATTTCAGGTGCGATAATAGTATTTTGCTTGTCTTTTATAAAATTTCTTATCTTGTACAGCAATATCCTTAAATATTTTCAGATTAAAAGATATGAACTCTGAGATTTGCTTCAGAATAAACCAGGGTTAGGGAGAGGAGTAAGAATAAAGATAAAATGAGATTGGCCATGAGTTGGTAATTTTTTAATTTGGATGATGAGTACATGAGAGTTTGTTATGCTATTCATTTGAGGTTTTTCATTAATAAATTGACTAGCCATATATTAAATAAAATTCAAACCTACATATTTTTTGTCTTTTTTTATAGATGGCAAGAAAGAAGTTGAAAAACTTTACTCCTTTGGAGCTTGTGCTCAGCGTTCTTGTGCTTGTGTTGTTTATCATTGCTGTTGTGCTAATTGTGCTTTTAGTCAAAAGTTCTACAGAATCAAAAGGTAATGGGTAACTCTGGGGCTTTCCTTCTGTATATTGCTCTTATCGGACAAAACCCTCCTCAAAGGTAGGAAGGTAATGCTTTCATGTTCATGGGTGTGAGTGTGTGTGTGTGCAGGTTGTACGTGTTTGGGGGAGCACTTAACTAAAACTGTACCAGCTCAATAGGTACTCATTGTAGGTTTAAGTTCTGATGCTTTCACTTCGCAATATAATCAGTGCATCACAGGATGACACAATTGACACTTGAAATATATTTGCCAAGTTTTACTGATTCATTTAAATTCTGTTCATAACCATTCTAATTCTGATAATTGACAAAAACCCTATGTGAAAAGTAGTCAGATATATATGATAAATTAAAGTATTTTAGGCCACAGTTTGGTCCTTTAAAAAAGAAAAAACAACCTGAGTTATTTTATTAAAAGTTTATTGAATTGTTTTATCCCTGAGGAAGAGCTGGATTGTGCTGATTACTCATCTGAAGCATCTAGGAACAACTTCTTAGGTGGACCAGGCAGTGATGGGCCAGCCTGTGGCTACAGGGAAACCTTTGCTCTCTTTCCCATCCCCAGCCTCAGCAATTTCCACTTTCGTGGGAACAAAGTTGTTCCATTCTTAAAATTCTGTGATTCTGAAGATGGAACTAAAACCCCTATGCAGAAACTGGCACATATATGGAGTTTGTTTAATCCACTGCTTTAAAATTAGAAACCCCAATTAAAAGAAAGCTAATTAAAAGCCTCATTGTTTTGTCTCAGCATCATTATGAATTTATCGTGGAGTGCCTTAAAGAAAGCTCATTTTCTTACAGAATGCAATAAAAGTGCCTTTTCTATTTTTCTGATCTTTAAATTTGAAATCAAGGTTCTCTAACCCCTTGAGTAGGCTCTAGCTGCCACTTTCTAGATTGTTGGGCTTCCTTTATATTTTTTGTCATGTGAGACTTTAATTTACAGAAGAATGCTATTGCTCAGAAGTGTTCTTTGTCCAGGGGGTTGGCAGGGTTGCGGCTACTGATTAGGATAGCGCTTGTATTCACGTGTTCTGTGTGTACCAGCTGCCGGAGGTGGAAGTAAAGGACCAGAGCAGAGATCTGCAGACTTTTCTGTAAAAGGCTAGATAGTAAATATTTCAGATTTTGTGGGTCATGCGGTCTGTCTTAACTACTCAATATTGCTGTTGTAATACAAAAGCAACGATACACAAATAGGTATGGCTATGTTCCAGCAACACTTTACTTAAAAAACAGGCTTTGACCTGATTTGGCCTGAAAGCCGTAGTTTGCTGATCCTGAGACTAATGGAAAGTTGGTTCCCACTTTCATGAGCTTCTAATCTAATGGTTGAATCCTTGCTCTTGTACACATCATCTTGTAGGGGAGAGACTGGACGGTAAGAGGAGATGATGCAGGTGTGCATAGAAGTAAGTACAGTCAGCAGGAACAAAATGAGGTTTTATAAGGTGAATGCATAAATTTCGAGTACATCAGAGTGAAGCCCAATCAGTAGTGGAGTTAATATAACCGGAGGTGTTGAGAACTATGAGGCTAGTGAATTCCTATGATATTAAATCCGTCTGATGGTCATTTTATGTTTGCTTTTGGGATAGCCCCAGAGTCTGGGACAACTAGTACCCCAGAATCTGGAACAACAAGTACCACCCCTGATTCTGCTGAGTGCCAAGTGGTAAATGAATCGGAAAGGATAAACTGCATCCCTGACCAGTCACCAACAAAGGTTTGAGTTATGGATCTTGTTTTCATTTAAGAGTTTATGCCATTGGGTAGTTCTTTTTTGTTTTGTTTTCATTTTTTAATTCTTTTTCCTGTTTGTAACTCTCAGAGAGTTGCTCGTATTACGGCCATTAGTGGGTCAGGCAAGTTAATCCTGTATCCATGTTTGTATGACCGTCATTAGCTCATGTTTGGTTTACTCCTGTAGCCTCCTGGCATGTTTTCGAAATTCCATTTTTCCCATCTATTCCATTACATGCATGATTAAAATTTCTGTCTTTAACACTGACTTCTGTTTTATTTCTGCCCAACTCCAGTACCTATAGCAATTTATTCTGCATATTGTGCTGAGTTCAAACACGTCACTGAAGACCCTATTTAGCCTTCTTTGTGCCTCTATAGCATGACTTAGACCCTACTCCCATGCAAATTTTAGAGACAGCTCTCTACACTTATCTAAACCTATCCATTCTAGAAAAGTCAGTGAAGACCCTATTTAGCCTTCTTTGTGCCTCTATAGCATGACTTAGACCCTACTCCCATGCAGATTTTAGAGACAGCTCTCTACACTTATCTAAACCTATCCATTCTAGAAAAGTCAGTCACTTTCCACTTCCTTGTTGAAGCCTTTTATCCCCAGTTGCAGAACTCTGAGTTGAAAGATACCATTGACAGCGGGGAGCAGAAATATCTAGTCAAAAGCCTGAGATATACAGCTCAGGAAAGAGATGGCAGATAATAATTTTAAATACTTTGATTTTTCAGGGTTATAATGTATTGTATAAACATGGGAGAGCAGTTTGAAATGTTTAAAATAAACCTGCCTGTCTTAAGTGACCATGGCAGAATGGTTAAGCTGACAGCAGTTTGCAAATAGTGTTTTCTACAGATAATAATACTAATG